GACTACAGTCAAAAGGTTTACAGGGAATTTTAAAAAATGCCATTTTGTGTTTTAGATAATTGCACAATATTTAGTTTAAAAAAAAAGCTTGTTTTCAACCTCAGCGACATTACTGTGCAAAGAACAACAAATCATTCAGTTGGACATTTCTGTTATGTTTAGAGCTTTCCTAATCTAAGCAACATTAGCAACTACTTCATTAGCTAGAATAACAATTACCCAACACACTTGAATTTCTCACTAAAATGATAAAAGCAACTTAAATGTAGAAATAAGGTTAACATTCACTTCATGGCGGTTTGTTATGTGTAAACTAGCTGACACGTTCGGCCACAAAATACGCAGTTACTACATTTTAGTGTATTCTGTGAAACTCTTTTGAGACTTATTCTTGACTGAAAGGTTATATCAAATGCAAGAATTTTTGTTAAACAGAGAGAAGGTGCTACATCTACAAACAAAAAATTTAAAATTATTTAGTTACAGTCTGGTTTTGCTGATGAAAAATGATTTACTTTCAGGTCAAGATTTGATTTCTAGTAGGCAAAAATCAGTAAAAAAAAAGGAAAACAAAACTAAGGCAGCAAGGCTGACAGGATTTGGCAGGAAACTCTTAACAGCCAGGAGATACATAATGATGAGTCAATTGAGATTTGGACTTAGACCAGTGAAAGCCAAAAGATTCGGTTCACTAACAGAACACACATGGCTGCATGCACTGGGTCTTCTGCAGGAAATAAAAAGCAACCACTTGTGGGAATTCCTGTATAATTCTGACAATGTTTGACCACAGTAGATTTTCCAAGAAGTTGTTTGATCAGCTAGGTGACTGACACTTGCAGAATGTACATTTCATTGGAATTGAAACACTAAAGCAGTCGCTAACCTTCCGAGTTTGCTCCAGCAACTGGCGACAAATGAAAACAACAACAGATTACACTTCACGTCGGAAAGATGACTCAGGTCTTTTCTGAGGAAACGTTCAAGACTCCAACAGGGCTTTGTTGGTGTACCAGAGTGTTATAACATGTAGGTGTAGTAAACTTCCCTTCTCTCCTTATTAAAAGTGCAAGAGCCTAACTTCAGGTGGATGTTAAAGATTCCATGACGTTATTGCTAAAGAAAAAGGGAGCAACTCTCATTGGACTAGCCAACAATCCTCTACATGAATTGGTCACTCTCATGGTTGCTTGTTGGACTGTGCCTTGTGCAAAATGGTTGCTGTGTTTGCGGACAAATACAGTCACAACTCAACAGGAATCACCTGCAAGCAATTTGATATCATACCTATAACATTTCACTATACTCTTCCCTCACTGGTCAACAAGATAACAGCAGACAAAAAAGACAGTATTTCAAGCACTCAATGCTCGTTCATGCATAGAAACATCTTGTATACTTCAGTATTCTAATTAAGGAAGTTTTTTTTAGAAAAAACTAATATGACACGCAGGCAAATATTTCATATTATTGACTGCATCTCTCAGCTAAGTCATTTCCTAATAGATTGTATGCCACTGCGTGATAAAGTACTAGAAAGGAAAATATAAAAACAGTGCCAAGAGGTTGTGAGTAACAGGAATAATTGAATGTCAATGCATTCTGTTGTAATGAAAAATTCAATATTTGCAATGTCACTGTACCAAAACCAGTACTAAATCTTGAAAGGTTTCAAAAAGTTTTTCATCTTTCCATCAAGAAACAATGCTAGCAAATAGTTGTACTGGTTATCCTAGGCATAAAGGGTATTTTTGAACATTTGGATGTATTTTTCTTTTTAAGTGCGTCTAATTCATTGGTGGCCAATCTTTTTGGTCAGCTAACAAAATACATTTTCTTGATTGAATATTTCTCTATTTATGGCATTTATCAAGAAAATTCAATCAACAGAGACTCACAAACACCCAACCAATTGAACATGGACTTACCTAGGCTAGCACTATGTTTGGCGGCGAGGGGGGGGGGGGGAGAGAGAGACGCTTGATGGCCCTATGGGCCAGAACCAGCTGTAATTTGGCCGGCACTGGTCTATTGCGGTGCCTTTAAATGCATCCAACACAATTTAGTAAGTGTATCTCCAGAAAATTGCCACTGAAAAAGAAAACTAAATCATGAGGAGTTTATAGCTTAACTTGGAGAGTCATGGAATTTCTTTAAAGGGAAAGTCCTCATGAAATTCGCAACACTTCAGATCTAGGTTTATCTAATCCTATGGTGTGTGGAGGGTACAGGAAACAAATAAAAATGCTGTCTCCCTCCATCTAATAATAATAGTTCTATTTGATATAGTGCCTTATCACATCATTGAGATGCCTCAAAGCACTGCACAGGATACACTGCAAAGTGGATTGACTGTATTTTCGTGGATGAAATGTGACAGCCAGTTGAGCATAGCAATGTCCCACAAACAGCTATGGAGCATTTTATTTGGGGGATTGTTGGTCAGGACACTGGGAGACTTCCTGTTCAAATGAAAATCTCTTAGAAAACATTGAAGCTTTACACACAATTATATCATCCAAATTTCCTCAAGTTTATAAACCATGAACAACTCAAGCCATCTGCTACTTCCTAGCACATTATGTTGAAGCAAAGCAAAAAAAAGTGACGGTTCAGCGCCTTCAGTTAATAGAATAGACTGTGCTTCCCAATATAAAGATAAGGATTTCTGTATTTAAAACCTATATTTTGCAAGAGAATCAAGAACAGAATTAGAAACCAATCCTATCATGAAGAACATTGGTTCATTCTACTATGAAACAGAACGCAGATCACACCCACAAGTTCCACACTAGTTCCAACTCACTTGGCAAGCTACTGATCAGCACAAAAACAAGTAAAACAAGAAAAGCATAAACTGACAGCAACTCAAATTAAACTAGCTGCTGATGGAAAATGTTATGAACTCTAATCTAGTTTATACATCATCAGCTGCAGACAGAATTTATAGTACCAGTACCTAAATAGTCCGTAAGATTTGAAACCTTTTAGCACAGGGGATCTGGAAGATTGCAGGAAATCAGCAAGTGTCTGCTGTAAACAGAAATGATTGCAGATCAATATGCTGCATAGATATCACTAGACAAACCATGATCTAAGTGTTAAACAGATTGACCTCTGCAGATTATGATAGTGACCACTATCACGTCCACATCGTATTCTGGTCAGTCACAGAGTTAGCCAATGTCATCATCAGCACATCTAAGAAGTTTGATCTAATTCCACCCATGCCAGAATCCTGCAGATTGAACAGGACCTTGACCTCAACTTCAAAAAAAATTGGCTCATTAGCACGCAGGAAATTAGTCTCAAAATGACTGCATGTACATTCTGAAAGGATTTTGGATGACAGAATAAGATCCTCAGGCATTCTTCTCCTCTTTGCCACCCTCCCACCTTTACAACCCTCTGGCTTTTCAAGCTAGATAATAATATTTCTCAACTAGCACTTCCTCAAGGAAACGGACATGAATCATATTTGCCCTTTCAGTTTTGGGGTCCATGAGTGTTTTTGAAAAATGGCCTGTGGCTGGCTGTAAAAACTGAGGTCCATTTATTTTGCAGATTGTTATTAACCAGGCACAAGCCACCTCCACAAGCATCGTCCTATCAAATTTGGAAGATGCTCCAAGATTTTAATAAAATCTGCAAAACAGGACTAATGGGAGTTTGTATATGCAGTTGACACAACCAAGGCATGAGCTGAAGGTAGGCCCAACGTCTACTCAGTCAAATTTTACTTTTATGTAAGTTACAAAGCTGCGTTTAATCGGACACTTTCCAAAGCAAACCGAAGTATATGGCAACACACCAGTGGCAGAAAAAAAGCTGAATTGAATCAGTCAATCAATTCCCTGCTATATAAAAAACACATGAACTATCATTGAGGAATTAACAACTTGAGAAAGAAAACAAATGTTCTCTGTGGGAAGGAGCAAAATAAGGAGCACGTGTCTGAAAGAGGGAGGTTCACAAACCGCCAGCAGTACATCTGCACAAACGGCTTCTCCTCCCGCTCTCACCTGGTCACCTGCCTGGTACCCCAAGGATCCATCCTTGGCCCCCTCCTCTTTCTGATCTACATGCTCCCTCATGGGGATGTCATCCACAGATATGGGGTACATTTCCACATGTATGCAGATGACACCCAACTCTATTTTTCCACCTCTCTTTGTGACACCCCCCAGTCCCCTGATGTTCTGTCAGCCTACCTGTCAGACCTCAGGCGCTCGATGAGCGCAAACTTCCTTCAGCTGAACGTTGACAAGACGGAAGCCATATTCTTTGGCTCTCCTCAACGTCTAAAATCTCACGGCTCTCACCTCCTCCACCTACCCGACCTCCCCCTAAAACTCTCCGAACCCGTACGCAACCTAGACGTCAGGTTCGACGCCCAATTATCCTTCCTCCCCCACATCCGGTCCCTCACCAGCACCGCCTTCTTCCACCAGGTCCTGGAGATATAATGGGAGTTTTGCCTGAAAACATAAATCCTTTTTTTTATGGCTGCTGATGGGTCTGTGAGGGATTTCTACCATTTGTTTTATTTCAGATTTCTGGTGTGTTTGAAAAGGCAGTTTTTTTAAAAAAAGTGGACGCAAACAGGGAACAAGACCCCAAACTGGGCATACAAGCTGTACAGCTTACGTTGGTAACAATTACCCATGTTTTTCTCAATCTCACTTTAAGTAAGTCTTTTACAGTCACCGATGGCTGTCTATTCATGCTGTGTATTATTATACAGGTCCCAGTCTCAATCCTACAGAACCGGCTGACGATACATCATCGACCTGAAACATTAACTCACTTTTCTCTCTCCATAGATGTTCCCTGACCTGCTGAGTGTTCCATATGACTTCTGTTTTTTTTTAAATGGGAATAATTAGTGTAATTACAAGAGTATATTACTTATTCCATTTAATTCCATCTACCTCCTCCAAAACAAACCCACTACAAGTAGAATTTTGGAAGCACTCTGTTCTGTAAAACTGGAGCAGTACCCGATAGTCCAGCAATTCCGTCTGTATCAGACCACTTGTGGAGCCACTTTCAAGGTCCAACAGTCCGTTCCTGGGAAGATCAGCTCTATTCCTGCAAAATATTCAACATTTGTTGATAGTTAGGAAACTGGCTGGTGGCTGGATAACATTTTACAGCATTTAAAATCAGTTGTCCAACAAATGTTAGAATAATATTCTGTTTGTAAGGAGCTTCTTTTGTTTTACTCAATCTTGCCAGCCTGGAGGCATGAGTGTAATTTAATTTTCAACTAATTTACAGCATAATTTTGCCTCCACCTTCTGATCATGTTCTGCTAATTACAAGATTATCAGAAAGCTTAGCTTTGCACTTCTGTCATTGTTCTTTATTCATTCCACAGTTTTCCCCTCTTTTAGAAACGGGAGCAAACATTTCAACTCTAAAAATGCATCAAAAGGCCATTAGGCTATTGCGTCATACAAACCAATTAAAAGTATGCTGTGAGCATAATACAAAAGGAATAGTCAAAGAAGGAGCTATATGCATATTAGTAAAATACAAGCCTATCTTTGTAGGATCAAAGTGAGATTCTATGAAAGTCACCCTGCCATAAGCCATCAGGAGGGGAAGAAGAAGAGACGGGAGTAAAGGGAAACGATCACAATTTTGGAAGTGTACAGCTGTGTTGTATAAATTAAAATCGTTCTGCTGCCAAAGAAGTTTACTGCCAAAACAGGCCCAAAATAGTTGTCTATTTTTGAACACTGGCTCAAATATTTCAAAAATAAGCAATAAATCTTCATTGTGGATTTTCTCAGATTAGGTTAATAGATAACAGCCATCAAACTCTGAATGCTAGATTTATCATTTTTGCTCTTAATAAAATTCCTATATACGTGTGTGGATATATATGTATATAAAACACACATTTTCAAAGATATACTCAAGAACACAGCGAGTTCAGAACTTTCTCCACTTTAGAACACTCATTGGACATATACAAAATGTCATCTTTGAGAAGCAAAGTAAAACTGCACTAATAAATGTTGGTCACCATTCAAATGTAATTCTTTTCCAAATCTGCACAAATAGGAACAGCACAGCTTTTAAATTCCGTAAACTGGTACAAGATTAACTGAAGAACAGCTGATAATGGTCAGAATTGCAGCATCTTGAACTGATGCAAAATATTTCAGCATTGGTGACTTTCTGTGCCTCATCATTCTGGAAGTCCGTATTCACCTCAACATTGTTCAATTTTTAAAATAATCCTCTTTACTCATTAGTTCATGTTGCCTTTCAGGCCAACTGGATCAGCTGCCAATTTGTAGCATTCCAATGAATAATACAGCTGGCTGGGTGGCACACTTATTGGTTCGATTCAAATCTCCCCCAAAATGCTGGAAGTCTCCTCACTCTGCAATTACAAGTGTCCCAGCGGGAGGAAGGGGAAGAAATCTCAATCATTCCCACAAAGCCTAAATTTGGCACAAGTCTGGAATCTCCCTTAGAAATACAGCAGCGATAGCAGTTGTAGGAAATGAACGTCATCTACAGTAGCAGAGTGTGCTCTCCCGAGACTGGGTTATGAGAAAGCTTAAGAGAGCTTTACTCTGCATCCAATCATACCATGCAGGAGTGCTTGAAACTAATCTAGTACTTGTACTTGCCTAAAGTGGAAAACCACCCACTTGCTTTCTGTTCAATAAGCACAAACATTGGCCAATTTAAAATTATAATGAGGTGCAACTATGATCATAATACTTACACAATATGATAACCTCAATAAAAATAATACAATAAAACTGATATTTAAAGCATGAATACATTATAGGTCGTTGAATGAAACTCAAAAACTTCATTTATTTGGTTAAGCTATGAAACCAAAAATGCAAGCATCACTGAGCTCAATTCTGTTTTCTTCTTCCTCTCTATTCATAGACGTAGCCTCTCCCACACTGGCTGTTTAATTTTAAAGGTTTCCATAATAAAAATCCAAAGCTTGCTTACCAGTTTCATTACAGCCCTAATTATTCAACAGGTTGCTTATTTCTCTTGATAATATAATAATCCTTGCATTTTATGTAGCGCCTTATGTTGTTGAGACATCTCAAAGCACTTCAAAGGTAATAATAATAATCCTTGCATTTGATATAGCGCTTTTCACGTCGGGAAAGTAAAGTGAATTGACTATATTTGTGGGTGAACGCGGCAGCCAATTGCACACAGCAATGTCCCACAAACAGTCGTAGATTGAAAATGACCAATTTATTATTGTTTTTGGTTTTGGAGGGATTATTATTAGGTGTGTGGAGTAAGGAAACTTGCCCAAGGTTTCGCCCTCTGCCTGGAATTGAACTCAGGTCTCTCGCTTGCAAAGCGAGTGCTCTAACCGCTGAGCTACAGGACTCCACTTGAGGCTTGCTGCTGAAACAAGGTGGTGCACTGTATAGTGGATTGGTTGTATTTCGTGGGCGAAACACGGCAGTCATTTGCACACATGGAGTGAGTGACCCAATTTTATTTGGGGATTCGTTGGCCAGAACATCAGGAGAAATTTGCTCTTCTTTTCGAATAGTGCCATGGGATCTTTAACATCCACCTGAACAGGCAGATGGAATCTCGGCTTAATGTCCAATACTGCACAGCCCGTTTCTGGCTACATATCTTCTGTCAGAATAATTATCACTACATCAACTGCATTTTTTTTAAAATAAGAAATTTGTATTTTAAACAAAGAATTCCATTATGGAATCATTGGCTTCTGCTGTTCACATGCAGTGGAAGCAAACTGGTCCTCACTAGAAGTCTACTGCACTTCTAGGAACAGTGGAATAACATGGAAAATTGCATAAAAGTTACAGACCGTTTAGCTGAATTGGAAGAAAGGTGCAAATGCAGGTCACTATCGAGACATCTGTATGTTGAAAGCATGTTGCATCCACAGAACACTCACACTATAGTGAGGTACCTTATAATGGAATCATTCTAACTTTTCTTTAACATTCACCCTGGATTTGGGCTGGAAGCAACACTCTAATCACGTCAATTGCTCATATGTTATGCCTATTGAAAACCTATTTAAGTTGAAATAAATACCAACACCCATTGGAATTGATGAATGTACACTTCCACTAAAAATACCTACAGACAAGGAACCGAAAAATTTATATTTATTTTGTAATAAAGGAGCCCTCGATACTCTTTGAAGTTGGGGCTAAATTTAGCTTAACTTGTGATTTGCTCTTTGTGAGTCTGACGTAATTGGTTATTTTTCCTCATTTCTTGTTGTGAAATCAAGCAACTCAGTGAAGCTTTTCACAAAAACGGTTTAGGATTACATAGACACTTTAATGCTCCCTTGCGTTTATTCAATATAGTTTCGGCAATTAATCACCACTGAAAGTGCAACATAAATCCAGCTTTGGAGGCATTAATTCAATTTTGAGGCTTGTTGCTGAAACAAGGTGGTGTTTTCAGAACCAAATTGATGTCGTCAGCTGCAGTATAAATCTTCATTTTCCTGAAGCCAGTCCCTAAATAACTTTTAAACTTGGTTTGGAAAGGTGTGCCCCTCAGGCCATCACCCTAAGATTTTTCTTCTTGGAGAGCTGGTTGTAGAAATAATAAAAAAAACAATAACCAACATTTGCGACAAGGCAGTACACATTTCTCAGCCAAGACACTGAGATTTGAAGCAGACAGCGCAAGTCTCATTGTCTGCTCTACCACTGGAAATAATGTCACATGCTTTTTGCACTATAACGGGCAAGTGCATGGAAGTTCTTATCTAATCTAAATCTAATGAAGGAATGCATTAAACTTTATAAACCTTTATTGGATCTCTGCATTTTCAGCAGAAAGTCTTAAATCGGCAGCCCACCGCACTTCACTGGCTTGCATTTCCTTTTGACAAGACTAAAAAAATCCCACTTTATTTATCAGCCTATATTTATTTAGTCTATAAGGCATGGATTCCCTAATGAAACACATAGTTTAAATTATAAACTTCTTGTTTAAAAAAAAGTTCACTGAATGATAATTATTCTGACAGAAGTAGCTTGAAAAGGGTTGCGCAATATTGGACTAATAAACCCTTTTGACTGATCACAGCACTAGTTGGTATATTCATTTTATATTTAATATATTAAGCACTTGTCATTTACATGATTCAAACAAACCAGCCTATCTATCATTTTAGACCACAGTCACTGCTTCTGTGCTGCTAAGCAGACATCCACCCATCCTCATGCTGATGCTAAACAGGATTTTATTCAGATAAATTGGGTACAAATGGCTGCCTCTCATTTGATTCGTAAAGTGCTGAATATTCATAAATTGTTCTTCGTAGGAAATATATTGTCACACCAATGCATCACTTGCAGAAACGACCTAAACAGTTCCTCATTGCCCTTACTGTGAAGAGCACATGCAAGCATTCATATTACAATTTGAATGCTCCCAGTCTCAACTGTGGAAAGAAACTGAACTGAGAGCAGACACATCCCAAAAGGCAGAAACACAACTAAGTCATACTTACTCAGTCTCTGATGATCTCTTTTAGGGCATACCTGAAGGCCCATAGCAGGTTTATAATAATCCTTGCATGTGATATAGCACTTTATGTCTTCAAGACATCGCAAGTGCTTACAGGACATAATGTAAAGTGAATTGATTGTGCATTTTGTGGACCTTGAGAAAGTATGCATAAGAAGATCCAAAGATTTAGAAAGAGAACGCACGCTTCGCCCCACCATTGGAGGTCGTGTTTTCAGCCACTGTGCCTTAAAACTCTGGAACACTCTCCCTCAATCCCTCTGCCTCTCTACAGTTGAGAAATCCCTCTTTCAAGTCCCACTTGAAAACTTTCCTCTTCGACCGTGCCTACATCCCCCTGGCTCGGAGACAGCCACTGTTAAGGGCTCTCAGATGCTAGCCTCCGTGGAGGGCACTATATAAGTGCAAGTTTTTGTTATTTGACAGTAATTAAAAGGGGTTGCATTCTCAAATGCAAGCCTTATTTTGAAAAGCAAAACATTCTCCCATCCTCTGACCAATATTTCTCATCTAATGCCCATTAAATGTCAGTAGTTGCATTGCAATTTGTAGGA